AAGTAAATAATTTACTTTTTTTTCGTTGGAAACTTTTACAATAACTGTCAAGCAAATAAATACATCAAAATCGGTGGAAATTCCATTAAATATACAAATCTGAAGAACCTGATCGGGCAATCTGAGCAAATGCAATCGCCAAGAAATTAAACTGACATCCTCGCAATCTTTAAGAAATTCCAAAATTGCCGCAATACATGTCCATTTTATTGGGAGTGAAACAATTCCATATTTTTAGACCAAATTCCTAACACTGGACATATTACAGTTAAGTTTTACACATAAATCAAATAAAAAGCCTAAATTATTGCGGCAATAAAATGCAGCACTTGAAAGATGTCGTTGCGGGGAAAATTTAAATATAAATGCGAATCATCACCATATGCTCAACTTGAGTAATGAAATATAAATAATAATACAAGCAGGTAACAATTGACAAACAGTAACATCAGTATGCATAAAACAAAGTGACCTAAATTGTCTAGATCAGGTTAATTCGTGTATTTTGTCATAGTTAAATTACAGATACAATCTTGAACGTACAAACTGGGAAATCCCACAAAATCCAGGGAAATTCCTAGCAATAACTGGAAGTCCGAAAAATTCTGGAGGAGGTCTAAGTTGTGGAAAATCTAATGAACTGCAATCTACCTACCCCTCGCTATTTAGGTATCCAATGCTTTACTGAGCAAATTTGCATGTATTTAACGATGTAAATAGTAAACTACCTATCTCGAGTACTAAATCGTTATCATAATAGGTTCTCAACGCAATTTCTACAACTATTTATTTCTGATAAGCCCAATAAAAAATATACCTCGAAATGTGCAATATCAATTTACCAAACGCAACTATCTAATCTTAAAATTAGGAAAATTGGCGAGGTGACTCAGGAAGAAATGTATAAATAAAATATGTACCCAAGTAGTGTATAATCTATTCTTGGGCGTTTCATACAAACGTGTGATTAAATGCATAATCAAGAGTGTCAGTAACAAAACAAATACAGCACTATAAAACAAAAAACTAAACCCAACATTTCGCAATTACGTATAAGGCTGGTATAATCCGATATGATAACAAAATTGATTAACCTGTCAAGAATTTTCAGTATAGAGATACCCTCATCCTGCACGTGGAAAAGTAGATGAATTTTTTATGCAGAAGCGAACTGATACAAGCCCCAGGCAATTGGTGCATTTGAAGGGCAACATGATTCACTTACAACCTTGTTTTTAGTTTAAATGCAATCAACAAGGCAAATTATTCATATAATTTCTTGGTACATATTTTTTTAAGGAAACAGTATGATTGCCGCAATTACGTTTATTACCGAGTAGTACGGTGAGTTGCATTTCTAGCATTCCAAACTTCCCATAGGAAAACAAATTGTTACAATTCGGTACAAGAGACAGGGCCGTATCCAGCCGGTTTCGGGGTCTAGTGGCATGATTTACATCTTGCTCTATGAAAGCTTTTAAGGTTATGTGCTAACCGAAGAGAACTAGAACTACGCTACAACAAGAAAACAAATGTTTTTCATAAGACAACAAACGCATAGTAGTTTTTTTCTCACGTATTACTTATTTACTAGTTTTGCTCTCAAAAATAACATTAATACAATACTACTACTTACGGCAAATGAATGATGTTTATTTTTCAGAAAGAAAGTCTTAAATTCCATACAATTGTTCTTATTAACAAATATGATGACTAAATTCGAGGTCTACAATACATCTTAAAACAAGTCGTCAAATTATTTGTTAATAAAATGGATTGTGAGGAATTTAATATTTACTTTCTGTTTGCTTAATAATGAAGTCACTTTTATTGATTCTGAGCAAACGATGTTTACTTTCATCTTCCTGTTATACAAATATTCTTTGTGATCATTTGACATTCTGAAGATTGGTAGATCGGAGTCGAAATTAAATAAAAAGGTCAAAACTTTAACAACATAATAAATATTTTGTTTAGCAAATTTTTGCACAGGGCGTTTCTAAAACATGACGCCAAACTTACAAAAATTAATTTTATCAACCTACGTTCAGGGATATTTAACCAAATTTGTGTATTTTTTTTAATTTCAATTTGAATAATACAGGGTGTCTCGCATAAGAACCGACACAGGGCAGGTGCATGAAGGAGGGGTGTCCAAAATATTGTAATTTAACCAAACTTAACTATATACAAAGTTGCACCCCCGAGGAGTTATTAGCCTCCAAAGTGAGGCCCTAAATTTTGAAAAAAGTTAATACCTATGCAACACTTTACTGTAGAAGAACCAAATTAGGTACATGATTTAGGTTTATTACTAGTCTTTTTTTGACTATGATTTAAAGTTAATTGAAGCACTACAAGGTGTTCATTGGGGATAACTCACCCCTAAAATTATACTGAACTTTTTTTCCATTGACCGAATTGAAATATAGTAATATTAATTCACAGCAGAATTTAATTTAAATTTTTTTTATTGTTAAATTTAAAAAACTTGGTTTTCAAAAAAAAACGTATTAACTGACACAAGATTTTAACAGTGTTCATTAGTAGGCTTTATCTTTCAAATTTGACAATTGGCCATATAAATTTTACTTCACTTCTCTCATAATTCTACAAAAGAAAATAAGTACCTAGGTAGTTTTTAAATAAGCAAATATTGTATTAAGTAAAAAACAAATAAATAATAAAAACAATAAATGATATTTTTTCAACAACAATCAGAGGCAATTGTTGAAATAAAATAATTTTATTACTAACTGGCAAGTTTGAAAGATAAATTCATTGCCTACTACTGACTTTTCGATTATTTTCTAATAAACACTCTTAAAATCTTGTTTCAGTTAGGTAATATGGTTTTGCTTTAAAACCATAGTTTTTCAAATTTAACAAGAGTAAAAAAAAATTTAAAATTAAATTCTGCTGTGAATTAGGTAGTATTATTACTTTTCAATTTGGTCAATGAAATAAAAGTTCGGTACAATTTTAGGAGTGAGTCATCTCCAATGAACACCTTGTAGTGCTTCATATATTTTGGACGGTTCTTATGCGGGACACCCTGTATAGCACCATCCTGAATAAAAATTTGAATCAATTTTGGCTATTTCCACCATTTTTGCTTAAAATCACATTTCCTATCTCCCGTTTCAGTTTGGTAACATGTTTTAAAAACATCCTGTATTCAACTAATAAATAAATATGACGATTAAAAATAATAAGTGCATATTAATTGTACATAAACATTTTTGATAAAATTATTTTTCGCCGGTCCATACTTATCAAACAGTGAAAAATTATATAATAATGACTGTATTGAGCAACACAACAATGCAAGAACATTGAAGATACAATCAGGCAATTAGTGTCAAATTAAAACTGACCTTTTGAAAAAAATCTGCATAGCCGAGTGGAAAAAAAGGTCACGCCGATATTTTTTATGCGGAAAATATATTTTCAAGCAAATTCTCTGCACATTTTATTTTACGCTGTTCCACTTTATTGTTTAAGTTTTTCTGTAGTACTCTATAAAATTGTAAGAATCAACACAAGTGGCCTTGAATGGAGCAACATTTGCCATTGTTCTTGATAATCCCGTACAGCAATTTATTTAAGTTTTTTTATTATTATTATTCTGGGATTATGTATGGACAGATAAATGAGCATCGATAACTATTAAGATCATCATTTGATACATCATCAATCAATATAGATAGATACAGGGTATCCTGGTTTATGGGTAAAAAAATTATTGACCATTTTTTTTTTTTGAACCGATACTTATATTTGGAAATTACCTATAACTTTTTCAAAATTGAATGTAATATGCCTGCTATGATTGTTTTTGGAGTCAATTTTTGAAAAAAGTGATTTTTATTCCCAAACCTAACAAACCATATTTATTTGTATACCTCTTGACTTAGCCCGATGCAATTTTTTTAAATATTAAGAAACGATTTCACAAGAAAAAGTGTGAATTGTTCCTGAAGAAGGGTAAATTGTTTTTTTTCTTTGAACATTACTTAATATAGAAAGAAAAACATTACAATACAAATCAAGAAAATTATTATAATTATTAGTATTTATGTATTTCAAGCTGTAGTTATTTGAATTTAAGTATATTACCTCTGTTTACAGTACTTATGTACAGTAAATAATAATATTTGGTTTTATTATAACTAGGTACAGTGTAATGTATTTTTATCAAAACTGGATACCTACATTTAGGCATATATCCGAAGATATCAGACTTCAATATCAAATCTGCAAAGGTCTTAAAAATAACTTTTTGTTACAATGAAAAGAAATAAGTAAAATACTTTTTGAGATCCCATGGTCCCCAGTCTTTAATCAAATTTTTTATTTTGCTAATTTTCAGTTTCAGAGTTTAGAGGACTTAAAAATCATTCCCTAAAAGGTGGTATGACTTTTTCGCTTAATAAGGACTTTTGGAAAGTGGTACGGGGGCATTTTGGAGCATGAAGAATAACATGGTGTTATTAGGTATATTTCGGGTAAAAAAAAATACAACTGTTTTTTTTAAATGACCCCTTTAAAAAATCATAGCAGGTTTGGGATTTGCAATTTTGAGGAAATTATAGTTTCCAAATTCCATTTTTAGGTTGTAAAAATATAATAAATACATTTAAGTTTACTTTGTTTTTTACTTGTTAAAAGTAATAACGCGTATAAATTGGGACACCCTGTAGGTAGTACTTTGTTTTTAAAGTAAAATTTTTACATACCTATTCAAGGATTCCTATATTTTATAATTTAGTTTTTTCAGTAATTATAACCTATATTTCAAAGTATATGTAAAAAGCAAAACATCTGTGCACATTTTAGCTTCTAATTCATATTGTGTCATCATAAAAGTAGTTTTAGATGATAGTTTCTGTTACACTTGGCTTTGAGATGTGCTGTAAGATCGCTTACATTTTTAAGACAAATTTTTGACATAAATATCACATTTAACTGTTCAAGTAATGCAACGATTGTCTACTCACCTCGAGTTATTGTTATGTGCAGTCTTCGCATTCCCGAAGGCCTCCAGCACCGGCCCCGCACTCAAAATTGTCTGTTCCACTCCGCTACCGTGCGAACCCTTATGACTGAGGGCCGTCAAGTGATGTAACAAAAAATTCGTACTCTCAGTCTTGCCGGAACCACTCTCACCACTGATCACAATACACTGATTCTTCCTGTCTTTCAACATGCAATGGTATGCGGTGTCGGCCACCGCGAAAATATGGGGAGGCAAGTTGGGCCCTAACCGTCTATTCTGATACAACTTCACGTACTTGGGGTTGTAAATGGGGTAAAATTTGAAGGGATTGAGCGCTATGAGTATGGAGCCCACGTAGGTGTAGATGTGGCCCGCGACGAACCTCGCCCGGAGGTTTTCCAGGAGGGTTTGTTCGTTTAAGTCGGGTAACTGGCACAAGTCGGGGTACTCCCGGTCTTTGGGCTGGTATAGGAAACGGTGGAAGTAGTCTTTGATCAGCTGGGGATCCATCACGAACTGGTCCCGCCATACGCACTCGTTTACCCTCTCCCTCAAGTAGAACCTGTACGAGGTGTGATCGGGTCGGTTCTTCGGCCACAGCATCATCAGCTGCACGGGGCTTTCGCTGGGGGAAAGGCTCCGTTCCTTGCATTCTTGCCCGAAATCGTCCCCGATTACTTCTGCTAGTTCGTACGAAACGTTTTCGTTCAAGGTAAGTCGTTCCACAATACAGGAAACGATTTCCTCGGAAGTGGTCTGTTTGCTGGCCTCGACCGACAGGGCCTCGTAGAGGGCGGACAGGGCCCCCACGTACACCTGCACTATGTATCGGTTGTTCTCCGTAGAAGGCATCATGTTTGGGCATCCATTATATGATCCAAATTTTGAACTTGACGAATGTTCTGGGCACTAGCGGGAACACTTTGCACTGGATCATTTTACTGTTTCCAGCACTTTATTATTTTTAGTTTGACTGCTTCTCTCCCACTCATCGTTATTACTGATGTACAAATCACCCTGAAAATAAAACATTACGTTAAAACACAAGCTCCTCTTGGCAAGATTCACGTTATTAAATCATCATGTGCATAAATAATCTGTGTTGCAGCTAAACTTACGATTTTCTCACGAGCGAGTGGCTAGATAATGGGTTAATTACAAGGAAAAGTGACGGTTTGCTGGTTTGAAAAATAATTTAGCGGCCGAACGGCTCGAGCGCGGTCTAACGAGTGAACAACCCGCCGCGGAGGGGTTGATAAACGGGGGATAAATGTCAGATTGGGGTCACATGTTGCTTCTCTGGTTGTGGTGGCACAAAACTGCAGGGACTCGGGTGCAATCTAACGATTCCGTTACAAACATACAATAACGTCAACTGGCTAATTGAAATAATTAATTGTACGAGTTCATGCAGCTCGATTGCTACTTCGCCGCTGCTAAAACAGTGTGCGACGTTTCTGACAAACAGTAGAAGTTCACCCATAATAAACAACAGACAATCGAATTCGACATCATCTATTCCGAAACCGCCCATACGATAATGAAAAGTCCACCGAGACGTTTTTCACATACCTCACAGAACTGCACTACATCGGTAAAATGACGGAGAACTGGAAACCACGACCATATGGACCTTATTCATTTTAACTGACATTTTATTCGACAAAAGGGCCACTAACCACCATTTTTTATTTTGTATAAACTCGACTTCCACTGACATAGCAGGAGGGACTATCGCGTATCAAGGCCAGCCCACGTGACCTGCGCGCCAACTATGAATCACAATTTTCCGGCCAAAGAAACCGACCGCGTCGTTTACTTTCAGAAAAAACAAACGCACGGCTAATCTCCGTGCGTAATTATTTTGCTTGTAACGTGAGTCAAATTATTTTATTTCTCAAATCGAGGAATCGGGTCAATCGATTTTTCTTGCCTGCTGCAACTTCTGTTTGTTCTCTTTCCCGAAGTTCCCAATTCGACTACCTCTATTACACAAAAAACGAATTAGACACATCAACTTCCGTAGCTGCTACACCTTATGATTAAATATTTATTACCAATTGCCCCTCATTACATTTGCTTTACTTACCTACTTAACGCACATCATAACACATATCGTATTCGAGGCAACAGTTATATGTCTATTATTCTACGGATCCGTGATTGAAGAGCAACATTTGCGAGGAATACTTAATCATTCGTCATTTTTGGGACTGTCTGGCACCTCGGTATCGTCCTAATGTCGATAATTAAAAACAAATGTAGGTATAATCCATTCACGGATTTTTTTGAGTCGTTGGCCAAGAAAACTTATTAAAGGAATTTAGATACGAGATACAAGACCAGGGAGACTAGACAGTGTGTGTAGTCTCCATGTACAAGAAGTTAAAAATGATTTTTCAAAATCACATTTTAGCCATATTTTTTTCGAAAGAAGAATTTGACAAATATAAAAAAGTTATGAATTTTGAACCTTGGCTTGCCCCTCCCCCACCCTTCGGACGCCCCTAAAAACAATAATGTGTCAATTTATATAGTTTAGATAAAATAATTCCTCGTAATAAATGGTACCTCTGTATAAAATTTTATTAATTTATTTCGAAGCAATTTTGATATTGTAATAAAATTGTCTTAATGGCCCCCTTTTCTTGGCACGTAGCGCCACAGAGGGGCGTTTTCGGACACATGTCGGTATGAACTTTTTCGCTCAAAATTACTTTCTCTATCATCTGTGTTTGTTTGGCACACCGGAAATGAAACACCCCGTATAAACAAGGCGTTAACATATGATAAACGAAATAATAAAATAAAATAAAATAAAAACATTTTATTAATTTATCATCAGCATATTTACAAAATAGGTATTTTCTTTGACGAATACTTAACATTTGCTTTTAAATAATTATATACACCTTCATCACAGACAATTAACATAATACAGTCTCTTCCATTCTATCATTTACTCTTCAGTTACAAAATATCCTTTCTTAAAGCTTTCAACTCTTCTTTGCTGTTATCTTCATTGTCTTTTTCTTTCGGTTCTTTTGGTGGAGATTCGGGCTTACTCAAATTGTTCGGTACATTCCCAGACATGATAAGAGGTAGCGGCACCATTTTGGGAACATTATTTTCTTCCATTTTTGAATCGGACTTCCCTAGTTTCAAGAATAACGGTGCGGTGTTGTTTATACTCGCAATGCTGATGTTTGGCAACAAAGGCGCATTGTTGCGTTGGATAATTTCAGGAAGTTCAGGCTTTTTCGGTATCGGTACATTTTCTTTAGACTCGGCTACTTTTTCTACAATTTTTTGTTCTTGATCGATGTTATTCACAGGCGAATTGGGATGTTTTACGAGAGGTGCCTCTTTTTGTTTATTGTTTACATCTTCGGTATTCTCTGAAAGCACTTTTCTTTCTCTTAAATCTTTTTGAATATTTTCTCCATTGAGCTTCTCATCGTGTTTATCGTCTTGCGCATTGTCTTTTGCTGCAATGTTTTTTTCTCGATTCCCGTCATCAATTAATGAATCAGGTCCTGCCACTAACTGTTCCTTTCTTTCATTCATACTTCCTTCAATTGCATTTTCTCGAAGTTTCTTTTCCTTGGACGAGTTGTCTAAATTTTTGTTAACATTATTCCTTTCTTTCCCTCTACTGTTATCATTCACTATTGTTTCATCTCCAGTGTCTAGCTTAACGTTTTCGTTCACCTGTTTTTTCAGATCGGCAACTATTTTGTCGTCTTCTTTCCCTCCACTAATTTTTTCTATAGCCTGACGCGCGATGGTCTCTATCTCCTTCATAGCCTTAACTCTCTCTTCATTGAGTTTCTTGTGTTGTTCCATGATTTTCATTTGGACTTCGTTTTGCTTTTGAATCGTATCGAGTAATGCTTGGTTAGCGTCGCCCTTATTTATATTTTCTTCTTCTTGCTGCTGTACCTCCTTGTCTTCTTTTTTGATGGCTTCGATGTCCACTTCATCATTTTTCGAATCGTTCGTGGGTTTGTCCAATAATTTTGGTATCTCTGGAGGATTAACTTTCTCTACTTTGTCTTTCTCTGGCTCTAGCACCCGTTCTGGTGGTTCCTTATTCTTTACTTCAGGTTCTTCTACTGGTTCGATCGGTTGTGGAGGCTCATGTCTAATTTCTATAAGTTCTTCGTTTCCTACAACTTTTACCGTGGTTACTTTTTCGCCAACATTTATTTTACTTTCGACATTCATAATCTTTGCAGTTGTAGGGATTTTTTCGACAATGTTCTTTGCCATTTCAATTTTATCCGCTGCTCTGCCCACATTTAACTCCAATTGTTCCAAGTTTTTAAAGCTGCTGATTGTGACCGTATTAGGTTCTAAACTCTCCATTGAATACAGATTTTTGTAAGTGCCCAAAACCATTACGAAAACGCCAATCATAAGCATTAGTTGTGCTAGAATCCTTTCGTTGGTGTTCTTTTGAGATATACAGATGAAACACGTCACGGGGAATAAAACGCAAATCATAACGCCGATAGTCGATCCCACTAAACCCAACACAAGTTCGATATTTGGTATCATAATGCCTATTATGAGTGAAATAAATACTATAAATAGGGTTAGTCCTTTAAATCTTCCTTCGGGAATATAAGCGGACATTCCTTCATGTATAGGGTAGCCTTCCTTATACAGTAGCGAGTAGAGACTTGCACGGCAGGGAAAAATTACCAATGGAAAACTGAACGCCACCGACAGAATAAATCCTATCTTTATAACATCAGTCATAAGCGATGGAGAGAAACTGAGCAATATATTACCTGTAAAAGGCTTTTGAAAAAAGGCAATGTAACCAAAAACACCTACAAAAGTGTACACACAGGTGCAAATATTAACAGCGATCCGCACTAGATTGTTCATTTCTTCTAAAGTTGCATTCTGCAGAGCTTGGTATATCTCAAACAACTGTGTTTGACAAAATAAAGCCATAGTGAAAATCGGTAGGCATTGTAATATTCCGGCGGGTCTCCAAAAGTTTACGTTGTTGTACCAGTCCCCGCTGAATATATGGGGAATTCCTTCAAAGACTATCTTTAGAACCAAGCAGAAATAAAACCCTATCGTAGCTCTAGACACGCCACTTAAACTGTCAACGTTTCTTAATAATCCGAGTGGTAATACACAGAACAAGGAAAGTGCCATCAGAATACTGGTCCTCATGGTGTTAGTGGTGTAAGATCCGGTAATTTCGGCTATAATTTCAGGTCCCAAGTCCCCCATAACAACGAAGAAAGCTATGCAGGTTCCGATGAGGAAACCTATGATGCCTATTTCGATAGCAAACTTTCCCATCGCACCGAATATATAAAAAGCCAAGAACTCGAAGGTCTTCCTTCTGGCGATTATAGCGGACTTTAATAGGAAGTGGCACGCCAGTCTTGAGATAATACTGCTCATTAGTAGCATCAGGATGGATAATACAATACCACATTGTTTGAAGCAATACGGCATAGCCAGCACACTTACGCCGATAATGCTGTTGGCTAGGTTCATTACGTGTCCAGTTTGGTAATCCATTTCGATTTTTCTTTCAAGAGTTGCATATGGATTGCAGTATTTTTTAAAATTGTTGACAGACTGTGACAACAAAACATAACCTGCATACATCGCACATCGCATTGTTTTGAAATACTATTGTGGAAAAATATTTGTCTATATGCAATTCTGTTGACAAGGAGATGCATACATGGTTGCATAAGAAGACAAATTTGAATAACAGCATAAAAATTTAAGTTCTTTTAGTGGAAAAAACGAAAGTTTAAAAAACAAATGATGATGATTAATAAATTTGTTTATTTTTCTATATAAATAATTATTTTAAAATAATATTTATGTACTTCTTTGAATGTCTTGATTAAATTTTATTTGTACGTCACAAGGTACGGTTTTTACATTGAAATAGAGGTGTCATTATTTTAATAGGCAGTTTAGATGGTGTGCTATAAAGATTAATTATTTTTCAGTTTGTTTCATTTCCTCAAAACAAGATTATCCTTAAATTTGGAAATTCCGACTTGGTTCATTTGGTCTTTAATTTAGACATTTTTCATTCGAAAAATAGAAGAAAGTCTTTTGATATCTAAAGCGCTTATTATTGAACCAGTGTATATTCGCTGTAATTTAATAAAATGAGTTATTTAGATAATAATTTACTCTGCTACATAGAAGAAAGCGTTGAAAATCTCTTGGATTCTTTTCCACCAGGAAAATCACGAATTCTACATAACATTTCGTTTACCCTCACAAAGAATGGTATACACGGGTCGCTTGTTAAACTTCAAAGGAGCGCCGTTAGGTGGCGCTCTACGTACGGTGCCGCCGAGACGTCGCGACGTCCGAAACGCACCAGTTTTCCGCAGATGGCAATGGGGGTAATAGCTCCACGGCGCTGAGCATTTCCAACCACCCTTTGACGTCCGTTCTTCAAATCGACCAATCGCGTTCTATTACGCCATATTGACTCCTCCACTCGGTGTGTGTGCAAAAGATAATCCCGCTATTGAGGATACTTCGCAAATCTCGTAATTCTATCCGCAGAATCCACTCGGCGGGCGCCGCGGTGTTGATTTTGTGCCCAGGTGTATTTTGACGGTGCTGTGGAAAAAAAACTGGTGCGCCAACGTCGAGATGCCCGTACGTAAGCAAGGTAATTATTTTTTCAGTAATTAGCCGAACGAATAAGCTCGCAACGGGTCCAGTAGGCGATGAAACTAGCATTTGTCAATAGTCGAACGCACGTGTTGCGCGGTGGTGGGGGGTGGGGATCTGTCAGTTTCTCCGCAGAAAATGTCTGCTTGAAAACAAGGCAGGAAACGCCAAGAAAAGATTCATTTGTTCCGCATACATCCAAGGCTGTAACGATTAAACTGCTGAACTAAATCGAATTTAAAAAAGCCCTCTTAGCTTTTATCTATAACAATGTCACTAGATTTCGTAATCATAATCTACCTACGGTGTGCTATAACTGGTTTTATAAATAGGTTCCTTACCACGGTTTTGAGTTAGTCTCAGTTAATTTGGTAGAGTGCCAGAAGATCGCCGATATACCAAATACAATTTTCCCGTTACTCATTTTTGTCTTTCAACGACAGTTTAGTTTAGTTATAGGAACATGGTGTTGGGACCAGGAAAGACCCTCGCATTGCACCATAGCTTTTCGCTAGGGTGCATTGACACAGGGGTGGGAGAAGCGTTGTCTAGGTCAGGGTAGACCGTGGAGGACGTATAAGTTGTAATTGTCCGGATAAATATAGTCCCGATGTGTCATGTTTGTCGGTTTCTGGGACGTGGAGAAGAAAATCGATAGGCGATCGTGTAGGGCGTTTTATATCATTATAAAATTTAATAGTTGGCTCCCACATAGTTCCTGTTACGCCAGTTATTTAATTTTCCATGTTTCCATTGCTTCCCATTTACGTAAAGTAATAATAATAATAAACGAATTAACGAATTAGCTATAAAAAATTACAATTCTGTATACGGGGTGTTTCGCATAAGAACCCAAAAAACTTTGTCGTTTTCAACAAAAACACGAATAACTAATAATACGTATTGTAACTATTATTTGAGTCAAACATGACGATCAGGAAAAGTCATTTAATTCTAGTAACTGTTTAAAGTTTTCATTTAGCGAACAAGTTGATATGTGTTAGGTTTCTGTGAAGTAAACTACAGAAGAAGTGTTGAAGAATATTGGAGAAGATTTCCAAATCGTGCAATCCCCCATAGAGAAACATTTTCCAGTGTTCGACAAACTGGTATTTCGACAAACTGGTATATCGCAAACTTCTGTGCACTGAGTGATCAAACGTAATCTACTAAGTAATGTAATGATGCGCAAAATTTTGCAGAGTACAAAATTGTAGGTTTTGCTTTTTTGAAATTTTGTTTTTTTCTGTAGGATAAAAATTAAGTAAGATATGGCCGTTTAAAATTTGCATATTTTCGTAAGTAGCAACCTGTTCAAGCCCTTTCAGCTCAAACCCTTACAATAATAAGGGCTGAAAGAAAATTTAACTTATTTGATCTTATAACCCTTGAAAAAACATAAAAAATAAGTGTACTATAATTATTGTTCGATTTTTTTGCAAAGGGTGGTTTTTATAAGGGTTGAAACTTATAAATAAATAATAAAAAATTAAAACAGTAAAAAAATCTTAATTTAGTATCACTATATGATTAAATTATTCCAAGTTACTGAATAATAGTTTTCAACATTATTTTTTAATGATTGTAATTTTGTAATTTTCAACCCCTTTCGAGAGTAGTAGATGATTAAAAATATCGGTGTAGGAAAATCTTTGATAAGATAAAGTAACTTCCAAAATTGCATTTTTCTATGTTTCTCCAACTGCGAGAAATAAAATAAAAACTGAATTTAACAGACGTCTTTGGAAGTGACTTTTTTGGAAATAAGTTCTAATAAGTTTTAAGTTTTTGGAAGTAGAAGAACCCCCACCTTCCTTACTTTTTGGTAAGGAATTGCGCTCTTGTATGTTAAAAAGAGTACCTTTTTATATAACTATTTTTTTTCGAAACTGGATAATAAAAATGATATCTCCCTCTGAAGGGTATCATATTTTTTGCGATTTATTTGGAATCTTTTTTATTTTGTACCTGAGCCTGAATTTCTTTCTTATACAGTGTGTTGAAGTTGTTACTTTCCAAATGGTTTTCCTTAATTATCTTTAAATCGGCTAAATATAAAAATGTCACAATTTGTACACGAGTAAACATCAATTGTGCGTTAAGAATAATGTGCGGTTTCTATCTGAAAGGCAGTCTCGCCGATACAGGTAAATGGAGGGGTACAATAAAAAAAATATGTTAAAACGCAAAATTTATTACATTTCTAAACGGTTCTGTAAATTCTAAAGCATACTACAAAAAAAGGTATACTTGTCGAAATTCGGTAGCATGTACCATTTTCGAGAAAAATGAAGTTGCATAGAAGGAAATGGGGGACAATTTCAGTAGGTATCTATTGTAGCATTTCGAGTTTGCACATTTATTTAATTGTGCAGCTGTTTTGTTCTGTATGTCTCCGAGTCTGTTTCCTAATATTTTTCTGTTTTTATCACTTNCGTATCAAGGCCAGCCCACGTGACCTGCGCGCCAACTATGAATCACAATTTTCCGGCCAAAGAAACCGACCGCGTCGTTTACTTTCAGAAAAAACAAACGCACGGCTAATCTCCGTGCGTAATTATTTTGCTTGTAACGTGAGTCAAATTATTTTATTTCTCAAATCGAGGAATCGGGTCAATCGATTTTTCTTGCCTGCTGCAACTTCTGTTTGTTCTCTTTCCCGAAGTTCCCAATTCGACTACCTCTATTACACAAAAAACGAATTAGACACATCAACTTCCGTAGCTGCTACACCTTATGATTAAATATTTATTACCAATTGCCCCTCATTACATTTGCTTTACTTACCTACTTAACGCACATCATAACACATATCGTATTCGAGGCAACAGTTATATGTCTATTATTCTACGGATCCGTGATTGAAGAGCAACATTTGCGAGGAATACTTAATCATTCGTCATTTTTGGGACTGTCTGGCACCTCGGTATCGTCCTAATGTCGATAATTAAAAACAAATGTAGGTATAATCCATTCACGGATTTTTTTGAGTCGTTGGCCAAGAAAACTTATTAAAGGAATTTAGATACGAGATACAAGACCAGGGAGACTAGACAGTGTGTGTAGTCTCCATGTACAAGAAGTTAAAAATGATTTTTCAAAATCACATTTTAGCCATATTTTTTTCGAAAGAAGAATTTGACAAATATAAAAAAGTTATGAATTTTGAACCTTGGCTTGCCCCTCCCCCACCCTTCGGACGCCCCTAAAAACAATAATGTGTCAATTTATATAGTTTAGATAAAATAATTCCTCGTAATAAATGGTACCTCTGTATAAAATTTTATTAATTTATTTCGAAGCAATTTTGATATTGTAATAAAATTGTCTTAATGGCCCCCTTTTCTTGGCACGTAGCGCCACAGAGGGGCGTTTTCGGACACATGTCGGTATGAACTTTTTCGCTCAAAATTACTTTCTCTATCATCTGTGTTTGTTTGGCACACCGGAAATGAAACACCCCGTATAAACAAGGCGTTAACATATGATAAACGAAATAATAAAATAAAATAAAATAAAAACATTTTATTAATTTATCATCAGCATATTTACAAAATAGGTATTTTCTTTGACGAATACTTAACATTTGCTTTTAAATAATTATATACACCTTCATCACAGACAATTAACATAATACAGTCTCTTCCATTCTATCATTTACTCTTCAGTTACAAAATATCCTTTCTTAAAGCTTTCAACTCTTCTTTGCTGTTATCTTCATTGTCTTTTTCTTTCGGTTCTTTTGGTGGAGATTCGGGCTTACTCAAATTGTTCGGTACATTCCCAGACATGATAAGAGGTAGCGGCACCATTTTGGGAACATTATTTTCTTCCATTTTTGAATCGGACTTCCCTAGTTTCAAGAATAACGGTGCGGTGTTGTTTATACTCGCAATGCTGATGTTTGGCAACAAAGGCGCATTGTTGCGTTGGATAATTTCAGGAAGTTCAGGCTTTTTCGGTATCGGTACATTTTCTTTAGACTCGGCTACTTTTTCTACAATTTTTTGTTCTTGATCGATGTTATTCACAGGCGAATTGGGATGTTTTACGAGAGGTGCCTCTTTTTGTTTATTGTTTACATCTTCGGTATTCTCTGAAAGCACTTTTCTTTCTCTTAAATCTTTTTGAATATTTTCTCCATTGAGCTTCTCATCGTGTTTATCGTCTTGCGCATTGTCTTTTGCTGCAATGTTTTTTTCTCGATTCCCGTCATCAATTAATGAATCAGGTCCTGCCACTAACTGTTCCTTTCTTTCATTCATACTTCCTTCAATTGCATTTTCTCGAAGTTTCTTTTCCTTGGACGAGTTGTCTAAATTTTTGTTAACATTATTCCTTTCTTTCCCTCTACTGTTATCATTCACTATTGTTTCATCTCCAGTGTCTAGCTTAACGTTTTCGTTCACCTGTTTTTTCAGATCGGCAACTATTTTGTCGTCTTCTTTCCCTCCACTAATTTTTTCTATAGCCTGACGCGCGATGGTCTCTATCTCCTTCATAGCCTTAACTCTCTCTTCATTGAGTTTCTTGTGTTGTTCCATGATTTTCATTTGGACTTCGTTTTGCTTTTGAATCGTATCGAGTAATGCTTGGTTAGCGTCGCCCTTATTTATATTTTCTTCTTCTTGCTGCTGTACCTCCTTGTCTTCTTTTTTGATGGCTTCGATGTCCACTTCATCATTTTTCGAATCGTTCGTGGGTTTGTCCAATAATTTTGGTATCTCTGGAGGATTAACTTTCTCTACTTTGTCTTTCTCTGGCTCTAGCACCCGTTCTGGTGGTTCCTTATTCTTTACTTCAGGTTCTTCTACTGGTTCGATCGGTTGTGGAGGCTCATGTCTAATTTCTATAAGTTCTTCGTTTCCTACAACTGTTACCGTGGTTACTTTTTCGCCAACATTTATTTTACTTTCGACATTCATAATCTTTGCAGTTGTAGGGATTTTTTCGACAATGTTCTTTGCCATTTCAATTTTATCGGCTGCTCTGCCCACATTTAACTCCAATTGTTCCAAGTTTTTAAAGCTGCTGATTGTGACCGTATTAGGTTCTAAACTCTCCATTGAATACAGATTTTTGTAAGTGCCCAAAACCATTACGAAAACGCCAATCATAAGCATTAGTTGTGCTAGAATCCTTTCGTTGGTGTTCTTTTGAGATATACAGATGAAACACGTCACGGGGAATACAACGCAAATCATAACGCCGATAGTCGATCCCACTAAACCCAACACAAGTTCGATATTTGGTATCATAATGCCTATTATGAGTGAAATAAATACTATAAATAGGGTTAGTCCTTTAAATCTTCCTTCGGGAATATAAGCGGACATTCCTTCATGTATAGGGTAGCCTTCCTTATACAGTAGCGAGTAGAGACTTGCACGGCAGGGAAAAATTACCAATGGAAAACTGAACGCCACCGACAGAATAAATCCTATCTTTATAACATCAGTCATAAGCGATGGAGAGAAACTGAGCAATATATTACCTGTAAAAGGCTTTTGAAAAAAGGCAATGTAACCAAAAACACCTACAAAAGTGTACACACAGGTGCAAATATTAACAGCGATCCGCACTAGATTGTTCATTTCTTCTAAAGTTGCATTCTGCAGAGCTTGGTATATCTCAAACAACTGTGTTTGACAAAATAAAGCCATAGTGAAAATCGGTAGGCATTGTAATATTCCGGCGGGTCTCCAAAAGTTTACGTTGTTGTACCAGTCCCCGCTGAATATATGGGGAATTCCTTCAAAGACTATCTTTAGAACCAAGCAGAAATAAAACCCTATCGTAGCTCTAGACACGCCACTTAAACTGTCAACGTTTCTTAATAATCCGAGTGGTAATACACAGAACAAGGAAAGTGCCATCAGAATACTGGTCCTCATGGTGTTAGTGGTGTAAGATCCGGTAATTTCGGCTATAATTTCAGGTCCCAAGTCCCCCATAACAACGAAGAAAGCTATGCAGGTTCCGATGAGGAAACCTATGATGCCTATTTCGATAGCAAACTTTCCCATCGCACCGAATATATAAAAAGCCAAGAACTCGAAGGTCTTCCTTCTGGCGATTATAGCGGACTTTAATAGGAAGTGGCACGCCAGTCTTGAGATAATACTGCTCATTAGTAGCATCAGGATGGATAATACAATACCACATTGTTTGAAGCAATACGGCATAGCCAGCACACTTACGCCGATAATGCTGTTGGCTAGGTTCATTACGTGTCCAGTTTGGTAATCCATTTCGATTTTTCTTTCAAGAGTTGCATATGGATTGCAGTATTTTTTAAAATTGTTGACAGACTGTGACAACAAAACATAACCTGCATACATCGCACATCGCATTGTTTTGAAATACTATTGTGGAAAAATATTTGTCTATATGCAATTCTGTTGACAAGGAGATGCATACATGGTTGCATAAGAAGACAAATTTGAATAACAGCATAAAAATTTAAGTTCTTTTAGTGGAAAAAACGAAAGTTTAAAAAACAAATGATGATGATTAATAAATTTGTTTATTTTTCTATATAAATAATTATTTTAAAATAATATTTATGTATTTCTTTGAATGTATGGATTAAATTTTATTTGTACGTCACAAAGTACGGTTTTTTACATTGAAATAGAGGTGTCATTATTTTAATAGGCAGTATTTAGAAAGTGTGCTATGAAGATTAATTATTTTTCAGTTTGTTTCATTTCCTCAAAACAAGATTATCCTTAAATTTGGAAATTCCGACTTGGTTCATTTGGTTTTTAATTTAGACACATAGAAGAAAGTCTTTTGATATCTAAAGCGCTTATTATTGAATCAGTGTATATTAGCTGTAATTTAATAAAATGAGTTATTTAGATAATAATTTAATCTGCTACATAGAATAAAGCGTTGAAAATCTCCTGGATTCTTTTCCACTAGGAAAATCACGAATTCTACATAACATTCCGTTTACCCTCATAAAGAATGGTATACACGGGTCGCTTGTTATACTTCAAAGGAACGCCGTTAGGTGGCGCTCTACGTACGGTGCCGCCGAGACGTCGCGACGTCCGAAACGCACCAGTTTTCCGCAGATGGCAATGGGGGTAATAGCTCCACGGCGCTGAGCATTTCCAACCACCCTTTGACGTCCGTTCTTCAAATCGACCAATCGCGCTCTATTACGCCATATTGACTCCTCCACTCGGTGTGTGTGCAAAAGATAATCCCGCTATTGAGGATACTTCGCAAATCTCGTAATTCTATCCGCAGAATCCACTCGGCGGGCGCCGCGGTGTTGATTTTGTGCCCAGGTGTATTTTGACGGTGCTGTGGAAAAAAAACTGGTGCGCCAACGTCGAGATGCCCGTACGTAAGCAAGGTAATTATTTTTTCAGTAATTAGCCGAACGAATAAGCTCGCAACGGGTCCAGTAGGCGATGAAACTAGCATTTGTCAATAGTCGAACGCACGTGTTGCGCGGTGGTGGGGGGTGGGGATCTGTCAGTTTCTCCGCAGAAAATGTCTGCTTGAAAACAAGGCAGGAAACGCCAAGAAAAGATTCATTTGTTCCGCATACATCCAAGGCTGTAACGATTAAACTGCTGAACTAAATCGAATTTAAAAAAGCCCTCTTAGCTTTTATCCATAAAAATGTCACTAGATTTCGTAATCATAATCTACCTACGGTGTGCTATAACTGGTTTTATAAATAGGTTCCTTACCACGGTTTTGAGTTAGTCTCAGTTAATTTGGTAGAGTGCCAGAAGATCGCCGATATACCAAATACAATTTTCCCGTTACTCATTTTTGTCTTTCAACGACAGTTTAGTTTAGTTATAGGAACATGGTGTTGGGACCAGGAAAGACCCTCGCATTGCACCATAGCTTTTCGCTAGGGTGCATTGACACAGGGGTGGGAGAAGCGTTGTCTAGGTCAGGGTAGACCGTGGAGGACGTATAAGTTGTAATTGTCCGGATAAATATAGTCCCGATGTGTCATGTTTGTCGGTTTCTGGGACGAGGAGGAAGAAAATCGATAGGCGATCGTGTAGGGCGTTTTATATCATTATAAAATTTAATAGTTGGCTCCCACATAGTTCCTGTTACGCCAGTTATTTAATTTTCCATGTTTCCATTGCTTCCCATTTACGTAAAGTAATAATAATAATAAACAAATTAACGAATTAGCTATAAAAAAAATTACAATTCTGTATACGGGGTGTTTCGCATAAGAACCCAAAAAACGTTTTCAACAAAAACACGAATAACTAATAATACGTATTGTAACTATTATTTATGTCAAACATGACGATCAGGAAAAGTCATTTAATTTTAGTAATTGTTTAAAGTTTTCATTTAGCGAACAAGTTGATATGTGTTAGGTTTCTGTGAAGTAAACTACAGAAGTAGTGTTGATGAATATTGGAGAAGATTTCCAAATCGTGCAATCCCCCATAGAGAAACATTTTCCAATGTTCGACGAGACGAGCTCGAGAAACAGTAACAGACAAGTTTTTCAGTAACACTCGAGAATGTGCTATTGCAATCAGGGCACAAGACGAAGAACTTATTTTGAATACAATTGGAGATGACCCATCTGGTATATCGCAAACTTCTGTGCACTGAGTGATCAAACGTAATCTACTAAGTATGTACACCCATATCATATGCAAAAAGTGCAGTGTTAATGATTTGGTTAAACGAGTGAATGTCTGTCAGTTTTCTGTCTTATTTTACATCGAGGCATTAATTTTCTTTAGTGATGAAGCTGCTTGTTTCACCCGCAGAGGTATTACTTTACATAACTATCATAATAGTCCAGTCAATGACCATTTTCCCGTATAATTTTGCCAAACAGCACCGATTTTCATAAAAATTTGGATTTAGGTTGTACTTACCCTCTACTTCAAAGTTGACCTTGTACTGGGGGTTGCTTTTACCCTGCGGGTGGATGCCACTCCTTCTCGGGGGTGAAAATAGTTTAATTGGAAATGGAATGGAATATATTGACTAATTCTAAGCAATTTTTGTTCTATAAAGTTTTTTCTGAAAGTCAATACTTTTCGACTTATTCGCGAGTGAGTGTAAATTTTTTAACTTAAAAAACCACTTTTTCGGACGGTTTTTCGCGAATAACTCAAAAAGTAAGTATTTTATCAAAAAAATTCTTTCTTATAAAAAATGTAGCTTATAAAAAAACAAAAAGAATGGTGTATTTATGGTATCTGTAGACCCAATACAAGCGGAGTAATAGGTCTGTTTCTGCAGCAGTTGAGGACTGATTTGAAACTATCAGAGATATTTGACCAATTGATTCATAAACTTTTTACTCGCTGAAAGTACGAGACAACTGAATTGGCCGAGTATATCTGATAGTTTGAAAACAATTTGAGACTGCTGCAGAAACAAACCTATTAGCTTGTTGAATGTTGGTTCTTATTCGTCAAACACCAAAATTAAAAGTTTGAACGCGAAATAACCAAAAACCAATGCATTTTTCAGGGAATACTCATATAACCTTTTTTAAATTGCTTGAAAAGATCTTTATTTTTATATTTTATAAAAGTCCCTAACATCAAACCTAAGCGAGTTATGACGAAAACAAAGTTGGTCCGTATTTTTTTTCGGCGACAAAAAACAGGAAAATCACCACCGTCGCCAATTACCACCCCAATTGAAAATAATCGTTACCACTTTACAATTTATTTTATTTATGTACTTGTAATATGCCCTAGCTAGAAGTTTGACCGGTTTAAAGTGCTTAGTTTTGAAAAAAGTTGAGCTTGAAGTGAAGAGAATTTTTGTATTTTTGGAAAAAATTGTCTTTACTTCAAAATAACTCAAAAACTATTAATGATACGTAAAATTTTGTAGAGTACAAAATTGTAGGTTTTGGTTTTTGATTTTTTTTTTCTGTATGATACAAATTAAGTAAAACTTATTCAAGCCCTTTCAGCTCAAACCCTTACAAAAATAAGGGCTGAAAGACAGTTTAACTTATTTGATCTTATAGCCCTTAAAAAACCTACAAAATGGTTTGTTGAAGGGCTTGATAACATAAAAACTAAGCGAGCTATGGGTAAAAAACTAGTCACATATTTTTGTAGATATCAGAACACGTATATTGAAGCATTGACGAATACACATTATAGTTATATTTTAGCACAGACGTACTTACATCTTACATCTATTGACACGTATATTATGAATTACAATTTTTTTTTTAACTTTAATTATTCGATTTTTTTTGTAAGGGGTGTTTTTTATAAATAAATAATAAAAAATTAAAACAGTAAAGAAATCTTAATTTAATATCACTATATGATTCAATTATTTCAAGTTGCTGAATAATATTTTTCCACATTATTTTTTAATGATTACTGTCATAGGGGGTAGTTTTTAGGAATTGACAATTTTCAATTCATCATAATTACTTATTTAAAGATGATTTCAACCTATTACAAGCTGGAATCTACAATTCTATGATTATTTTCGAATAGGGGCTGTTTTCACCCCTAAAAAATAAAAAGCGGCGCCAAATCCAAAATTTGGTGCAAATCGGTGCTGTCTGGGAAAATTATACAGTAACGCCATATTTTACCTTCAATGACTGGACTATGAGTAAGTATTCCGATGTAAACCTCCATTCAGAAACTCCTCGACATTTCCAACGCGAGTTTAAAATAAATGTTTGGATTGGTATTTCATTGGTCTAGTTATTTTAACGAATCGATTAAATGGCGAAACTTATTTAGGATTTCTCTAAAACACTCTCCCGTATCTACTAGACGAGGCGCCGCTACAACTGAGACTGGAACATTGGTTTGTTTATGCATGATGGAGCCTCCCTCAGTTCAATAATATTGTTAGAGACTTTTTAAACCACCAGTATCCAAATAAATGGATTGGAAGAGGAAATAATTCCCACAAGTTTGGCCTTCGCGATCACCAGATCTCAACAAATGTGATCTCTTTCTTTGGGGAACGTTAAAAGAATTTGTGTATTTCTCGCCGGTTGCGTCGTGAGTAGAATTTTGGAATCGTATTACGGATAAATGCACATTCACATTCATTAGTAACAATCAGCAGTTATTGGATAGAGTAGACTTCAATTTTCGACGAAGAATAACTTTATGCCTGAGACAAAACGGTGAATATTTTGTAACTTCATTTTTCTTGAAAAATGGTACATGCTACCGAATTTCGACAAGTATACCTTTTTTAGTAGCATCTTTTGGAGTTTACAGAACCGTTTAGAAATGTAATAAATTTAGATTTTTAACATATTTTTTTTATTGTACCCCCCTAATTACCTGTGTCGGCGGCGAC